CCCCACCCCCCCCCCCCGGAGCACCATGGGGGACAGCGACGACGAGTACGACCGGCGCCGGCGCGACAAGTTCCGGCGGGAACGCAGCGACTACGACCGCTCGCGGGAGAGGGACGACCGCCGCCGCGACGACTGGAGCGATCGGTAAGGTTTTGGGGGGGGGGGGGGGGAGGCCCCAACCTGCCTCGGGGGGTCCCCAACCCTGTCATGCCCCCCTCCCCACCGCAGGGACTGGGACCGCGGGCGGGAACGCCGGAGCCGGGGCGAGTACCGGGATTACGACCGGACGCGCCGGGAACGCTTCTCGCCCCCCCGCCATGAGCTCAGTCCCCCCCAGAAACGCTTGCGCCGTGACTGGTGAGTAACCCCCCCACGCACACTTTTCGCACCCCTAAACCGCAACGCAGACCCCCCCCAAACCTCGTTTTTTCTTGCTGTCCGTCGCCCCCCAGGGATGAGCACAGCGGTGACCCTTACCACAGCGGCTACGACATGCCCTACAGCGGGGGGGGCGCCGGCCCCACCTACGGTCCCCCCCAACCCTGGGGGCACCCCGAAATGCACGTCATGCAGCACCACATTCTCCCTATCCAGGCCAGGTAAGGACTCTGACCCCTGATTTCATTCCCCACCAGCACCCCAAAACCCACTTGATCCCCCCTCAAGTCTTTTCCTGTTCACCCCCAGGGTCCTGAGCCCCCAGATCGGCCGCCCACCCCCTTTCAGTGCAGCATGAGGGTCCTGTTTACTGCCCTGGCCCTTTCTCTATTTGCTGCCCCCTGAGACAACCCCCGGATTTGGGGGGGGAGGGCCAGCTTCGCCTGCAGCACCCAGTCCCCTTCGCGGCCCCACCCACCCCCAAGCTACCCCACAGCACCCCTGAGACAGCCCGTAATGGTCTGAAATGTCCTTGTAATGGTCCAAAATAACTCTGTAATGGCCCAAACCACCCCGTAACTACCTCAAACCACCCCATAACAGCCCTGAGCTGCCCTGTAATGGCTCAAATCACCCGGTAATGGCCCCAAAGCACTCTGTAACTGCCCTGAACTGCCCAATAATGGCCCCAGGCTGCTTCATAAGTGCTTCAGCTGCCCTGTAAGGGAGCCATAACAGCCCCAAGTCTCCTGTTAAGAGCCCAAGACCTCCAGTAACGGCCCCGAGCCACCCTGTCATGACCTGAACTGCCCGGTAAGGGCTCCAGGCTGCCCCCAAAGGCCCCCCCCCCCCCCCCCCCAACCCCCCGCAGCCCCCCTAAGAGCC